TGCCCCCCAGTAGGGGGCGTGCAGGAGGCAGCCAGTCAGTGATTCTCTCTTATCATTGATGTTTCTATCTCTCTCTCCCTCTCCCTTCCTCTCTGAAATAAATAAAAATAAAGGTACCAGCTGGCTGGTGTTGTTCACTTGGTTGTCCCATGTACCAAGAGTTTGCTGGTTGATTTCCGGTCAGGATACACACCCCGGTTGCAGGCTTGATCCCCACCAGTTGTTGTTCAGGAGGCAGCTGATTAATATTTCTCTCTAATCAATGTTTCTATCTCCCTCTCCCTTTCTCTCTCTCTAAAATCAATAAAAACATTTTTTTAAAAAAGGAAAGAAAAGAAAGTTGCGGAGCAATGTGTACAATAAACTAATATTTTTACCTTTAAAAAGACTTTTTTATATAGAGAGTAAATTGTGGAAAGAATACTTCAAACTATGAACTTAATAGATTTGTTAACCTTGGGAGTCAAAATGGGGAGATTAATAACTTTTTTTTTTTTGGTTAATCCTCACCTGAGGATATTCCATTGATTTTTAGAGAGTGGAAAGGAGAGAAGGGGGGGACGGGCGGAGAGAGATTGGTTGCCTCCCCCATGTGCCCCAACTGTGGCTGGGGATCAAATCTGCAACCCAGGTAAGTGCCTTTGATCGGAAATCAAACCTGTGACCTTCTGGTACATGGGCTGACGCTCTAACCACTTAAATACACCATCCAGGACATAACTTTTTTCTTATTTATTTTTTAAAACTTTTATTTATTTCAGAGAGGAAGGAGAGGGTGAGAGAGAGAGATAGAAACATCAGTGATGAGAGAGAATCATTGATTAGCTGCCTTCTGCACACCCCACGGTGGGGATTGAGCCCACAACCTGGGCATGTGCCCTTGACCGGAATTGAACCTGGGGCCCTTCAGTCCGCAGGCCGATGCTCTATTCACTGAGCCAGACCAGCTAGGGCATAACTTTTTTCTTTATATATCTGTGTCCTTTGATTTGCCACAACAGTGTATTTGATACACATGTATTTGGTAATATAAAAAAAAAATTCAAAGCTGTTAGGTTAATTAAAGTGCAAGTGAAGAGCTGATAGTGGCCATATATCCTAAGGCTTCACCAGCTCTGGAAGGAGCTGGGGAGACTCCTGAAGGATTGGGGGATTATATAGGGGAGACAGGGAAAAGACATTCCAGGAAGAGGAGCCTGAGGAGCACCAGTGCCTGTAAGAGTAGCTGCTGGCCTCATTGCTCCCAGGTGCCCATGCTAGGGGGTGGGGACAGTAGCACGAGAGCCTGGGACAGGTGGGAGGGGTTGGTAAAAACAGCCCAGTTCTTCCTATATGGCCACTGGGGAGTAGAGGCCTGTGCTGCTCCTCCCTTGGAGTGGTCAAAATAGCAGGGTCAGTGACCAGACCGGGATTGCATTCAGTTGTCATTCTGCTCTTTATGTTTCTGTTTTCCCAGCTGTCACTTTTGTAATTGGAGGGGGAGCACTCTTTTTAAAATGTATTTGCTCAAAAGAAGTAAATTTATATATATAAAAGCCTAAGTGACCATTATGACTGAAAGGCCAATCCACCAGTCGCTATGACGTGCACTGCCAACCTCCCTCGGCTCCTCCCCCGGCCGGCCCCCATCAGCCCCATTTGTAGAGACCTGCTTCTGGGTCGGGGTTTTGTACATAGCAGAGCAGCTCCCTCGCTGCGATCTATTGAAAGTCAGCCCTCCACACAAGGAGGGCTCACTCCAGTCCTCTCTCTCTTCCATGGGGGCCGCCCACCATGGTGGCGGGGTCGGGGTGGTGGTAGACGCAGTCCCTTTCCCAGGAAGACTGGCTCCTTCCTCGGGCCTGGCGGCCAACCTCCCACAGTCGGCCCTTCTCCTCCTCTCCCCACTTCTCCCCGCTCTGCACGAATTCCTGCATCGCGCCTCTGGTAAATAAATAAAATAAATGTATTTGCTCAGTTCCCAGGTGTTTTGGGAACTTAGTGATTTGGAATTCAGAGGTCAGTGGGTTCTAGATCAGAGGTCAGATTAACAGTTTGAGCCCGTGCACCTGCACCTGTGTTCTCAGGCAGTATGGTTTAGTGCGTATGCACACAGAACAGAGTTGTGGGTTTCTTTTTAGAGAGGAAATAAACCACATTGATGTGTTTCACTTATTTATACATTCATTGGTTGTATCTTTTATGTGCCCTGACAGGATCGAAAAGACAGCTATTTTTAATAGAACTCCTCTCATTTTGGGTTCATATCTCAGAGATATAGTGCCTTTTTCAGTGGATCATATTAATGGTCATGAAGTGTCAGTTTGTCCCATTAGTGATAATGTTACATTTGATCACAATCAATTAGTTAAGGTAGTGTCTATGAGGTTTCTTCATATAAAGTTATTTTTTCCTTTGAAATTAGTAACAAAGTTGTAGTGAGCTTGCATTCCTCTGAGAGAGGGCGCTCTTGGAGAGGATGAATTCCTGTGGCTACAGTTGTGTGAGCCAAGTTACTTTCACTTGTTGCAGATATTTAGATATGTTTTATGATTGCTTCCAGTTCCCTCTCACTTCTAAGGTCTTTCTTCTGAGTCCTTGAATTGCTGTGAATTTTTAAAAAACATTTCTGAAGTGAGCATTGAGGTAAGATAGTAAAGCTAAAGTGTATTTCTTTTAAAATGTAATATTTGAGACTGGGAAAAACATTTGCAACACATTTGCTAAAGGATTAATATTTCTAATATTGTATGTCAAGGTCTCCTTCAGAATAATGAGAAAAAGACCAACAGCTCATTGGAAAAACTGATCAAAATGAACTGAAGAGGAAATGCAAGTGACCAGTAAACATTTCTCACTAGCAGTCAGGGAAATGCAAGTGGAAATAAGAATATGCCTTTGATTCATCCTCCAAATTGGCATACATTTCAAAGATTGGTACAGTCCATGCTGACAAGCCTGTGGGACATAGGCAGTCACGTGCCCTGGTGGTGGAAGTAGAAACCAATCTGGCTTTTGGGAATGGAAGCTGCACATGCAGAGGCTGTCCCTTGCAGCCTGTGCATAATAGTAAAGGCCTGGACAACCTCAGTGACCATCACGAGTGAGTTGTCTGGAAAATCATGGTGCATCCATATAATGGAAAACTACAGTGATGGAAAATGCTTGCCTAGGATATTAAATTGTAAAAACAAAACAAAAGCTGCAGAACCGTATACATAGTATACAACTTTGGCTTAACTGACAACTTGTAATGCATGTAGATGACTTGAAATATGTGCGTTCAGGGAAGGTACCTGAAATAATTAGGGCTCAGGAATGAGGGGAGATACTTAACTTTTAACTGCACCTCCATTTTCTACTTTATAATTTTGTACCATGCATATATACTAGCTTTTCAAATAAGTGTAATATGCAAAGTTTTAAATATAGTAATTATTTGTCCCAGTGATTTCTCCTTTGGGAATCTGTCTTATAAAAAATAAAGATATTGCCCTAGCTGGTTTGGCTCAGTGAATAGACTAGCAGGAGTGGGCAAACTTTTTGACTCGAGGGCCACAATGGGTTCTTAAACTGGACCCGAGGGCCGGAACAAAAGCATGGATGGAGTATTTGTGTGAACTAATATAAATTCAAAGTAAACATCATTACATAAAAGGGTACAGTCTTTTTTTTTTTAGTTTTATTGATTTCAAACGGGCGGATCCGGCCTGTGGGCCGTAGTTTGCACAT